AGCCAGCATTTGATTAGAGAGCTTTTGACCCATGTGCAGCATGTTGCTTTTCTGAGATCGTGTCATTCTTTGAGATAGAAATTCTTTATTCCATTTTGCTATTTGCTGGGTGAGGGCAGAAAAAGAGTGTGTAACCTTGATTTTCATAAGTTTACTAATTTGTCTTTTGTTTTAGAACAACCTTTATGTAGGCTTTGGTGGATGTGCCTTTATTTTTCTTTCCTAAAGATTTTATTTATTTGAGGTTTGCCTTGATGACTCAGTTGGTTAAGCATCTGCTTTCGGCTCAAGTCATTATCCCAGGATCCTGGGATGGAGTCCTGCATGGGGCTGCCTGCTTAGCAGGAATTTGCTTCTCCCTCTGCCCTTCCCTGTGTTTGTGCTCCCTCTCTCTCTCTCTCTCTCAGAAATAAATAAAAATTAAAAAAAAGAAGATTTTATTTGAGAGAGAGAAAGAGCAGAAGCGGGTCGGGGGCAGGGGTAGGCAGAAGGAGAAGCAGACTCCTTGTTTAGCAGGGAGCCAGATGCCAGGCTCCATCCCACCACCCAGAGATCATGAGCTAAAGGCAGATGCTTAATTGACTGAACCACCCGGGTGCCCTGTGCCTTCATTTTTATGTACTTTTTTTTTTTTTTTAAACCCATTCTCTGGTCATCAGTATGTTTGATAGTTTTAAAAATTTGGTCATGTCTTCTGTCTTTCCTTCCTAGTTTTAATCTCTTTGTCTTCATTTAGAAATACCTTTTTGAGAAGGTTTTAAATGCATTAAATTTACATTCTCTCTATGTATTTTTAGGTGGCACAATCAAATTACATATGCGTGTTATGACAATAGATGGACCCATATTCCAGCCACCCATCACATACCCTGGGGTCTAAAATGCCATCACAGTTGTGGCTCAAATTATTTTCTCTTTTACTACTGAGTTCTTTGGGCTGAGACATTTAAGGAGCAGTTTACTATAATCCTTCCCTGAATGTGCTGTCCCACACAGCATGATTTTTTTTTTTTTTAAGATTTTAAATTTATTTATTTAACAGACAGAGATCACAAGTAGGCAGGGGTGGAGGTGGGGAGCGGGTCCTTGCTGAGCAGGTAGCCCGATGCAGGGCTTGATCCCAGGACCCTGAGACCATGACCTGAGCTGAAGGCAGAGGCCTTAACCCACTGAGCCACCCAGGCACCCCCTACACAGCATGATTTTATGGAATTTTAATGTATTATATAAACAAGATTCCATGGTTAAGTGATATTTGGTAAATTTGGAGTTAAGCAGAGTTAAACAGACTTTCTTATAAAGGACCTCTCACATCCTTTGGAGTACCTGTCAGCTCTATGACTCTCTAAGAGGAGGAGAAATAGAAGCTAAAGTTTGACTATATCTGCTGGTAGGACTAATGTCCCACTGGAAATATTTTGGGAAAAAACTGGTTTTCTATGAGTTTTTCATTATTTCTCTGTGTTAGGTGGAAATGGCTTATTATTGGTGAGGTTTCTAACATGATATGTTGATGCTATGTCATCCTTCAGTCTTCTAGTGACTGAGTGCAGTCACTGTAGGGGGAGTCACAGATGTGCACAGTCCTGAGGAGAGGTTGCTTATTGCCCCGGCTATGGCCTATTTCAGGGACACAGGCCTAGAGCACAAGGGCCAGGAACTCAAACTTGGTACTGTCTTTCTGGAGTTATATAAATGTATTGTTCCTGTTCTGATGTTACTCCCTCTGTGAAATCCAAAGCCTGGTCTTCAGACAGCACCTGGTTCTGGTTATGGTAATGAAGACTTATGGTAATGAAGACTTAAGAGTTCTTTCAAACTGCCCTCAGATTCCTGATAGGTGGAAGATACAGAGATTGAAAGGAGAAATCCTTCATAAACTTCTCAGTTATACGTATCTGCACAAATCATGGGCCAATTGTGAGTTATTTCAGAAAACCTGACAGATACAGGGTAAATAGACAAATGGAGCGGGATAGGCCCAGAATGCCAAATGGGTGATTGGAGTGAAGGGAGTGGGACCTGGCAGGTAATGTCTGCCTAGTGGAAGTCAGGTGAATTACAAATATATAAAACAGATGCTCAAGCATCTCTTGAAAGATGTGTGGGAGAGCTTTATTTGAGGGGATGGAATCTGAGGAAAGGCATTTGGCTATGAACTTGGACTGGTGTGCAGACGTTCTGCTCAGACTCAGTGGCTGTAAACTTTGAATAGTTTGACAAATTCCATCCTGTCATGGGGGGCTTGTTTGTAGCTAGCGTCTTTTGAGATTGCTTTTACACTAAATGAGTTCTGTTACCACCTCCACAAAAGTGAAGCAGGCTTGCATTTTAAGCTTTGCCAGTGTGTGTAGGATGTCTCTCCCTGTGGGTAGGAAGAATTTGGGAACTTTATGGGTTTGCCTGTCCTAAATTTTAGCTCCTTGGATCTTTGTTGAGGAGGCTGAGAGAAGAGGATAACACGTTTTATTTTAAGATGATTAGAACTGGAAGCATGGAGTTTAGGTCAGGAAGCAGACTTAGGTTTATCTTTGCCACCTACTACTATCTAGGAGTATTAGTTTTTCCATTTGCTCATTTGGGTATAATGTTACATATTTTACAAGATTGTTTTGAATAGGTATAGTATGTAGGTATGTTGTAGTGTAATGGAGAAGAGTACGGTGTAACAGTTTGTCTAAATGACAAACTAGGTGTACTCCTTTTCTAACTCTCTGAGGACAACCTGGACTCTTTAGTGTTTGAGCAGAGTCTGTCCTTGGTAGCTGTTAGGTAGTTCAGTCAGTAGTAGAGGACACAAATTGGAGAAGGAATTTTGAAGCAGTAAGATTTATTCTTAGTCTCTGTTATTATGCCAGTTACTCTTAATATAACCTCTTTAGTCGAAATGATATGACTTTTTATTTTAATAAAAGAAATTGAATTTCAGCATCATGACAACTGTGGCTCTGTCCAGAAGAAAGTACTGCAAATATGTTACTTGCCCATTAATGGAAAGAATTTCACAGGACTTTATTATCACTTATCTCATTGTTTGGGGAGGCTTCCTAGTCAGACTTATTAGAGAATAGTGAATATGTCTATTTCATAGGTTCTAAGAAATAGTAGGTGTTATTTTCCAAAGATTTTGTGTCTGTTAGTCTATTCAGTATCTTAGCAACTCTAGGAAGATGCTGTAGCTCTCATGTTTTCATGAAGACAGACTGAAAGCTCAGAAAGTCTCAGTGATTTTTGCCCTGGTCAGTGGCAGAGCTGGGGCTATAATCTAGGTCTTCTTTCAGTATTCTTTCTTCTTCAGTTTCTTCCCCTTAGAGCTGCAGGTCAAGGGATGTCAAAGGATTCAGCCTCAGTTATTCCTGAAAAATAATATCAGTTAGAAATAAAGAAAAGAATCTTAGGAATTTCAGAGGAATAGTTTGTTCTTAAATTTTCAAGCTCATTCAGTTTTAAAAATGATTCCTCTAATATGGTGCTCATTTATTACTTTAGATTCATTGCCTCAGTAATGACTTTCAAATAGGACTCTATTATTAGAGTGATTGGACTGAGGTCTGATTGGACTAGAGTTGAGAGACTGCATCACTATAAATAGAGTGTGGTAAAACATTATATAGAATTTGATTTAATTTTTATGAGGTCTCATAAGTTGGAATCTTCTCTAAATAGATACTTTGACCAATTTCTAAATGCACACTTCCCACTGTGGGTTTAAGTTGTAGATAGAGTGGCTGCTTAGGGGAATTTGGGAATTAAATTATTTTCCCTGGGACTTTTAATTATGTTACCTGAGGCAGAGCTTTAGTAACTGCTGCATCAATAACTTTCCTAACCCAAAGCATGAGGAAGTAAAGTTAGTACACTGATTAGAGAATTGTCTACAGACCTGTATAAAAACAGAACAACCCTGGAAGTTTTTAGTGTATAAGGGAAATATTAGATGTGGTAGTCTATGTGGTCATCGGCATAGTCATTGGAGAAGGTCTTATCAGTATAGAGGAAGACATTTAATGAACTTCTTTAATAGCACCACAAGGAGACTGAATTGGATTTAAAGGGATTGCAGTTTCCTCATGATTGCATAGAATGGGCCCAATCTCTAATCTTTATGTTTCATTATGAGAAAGGCATGTATTTCTTATAAAAGGAAAAATACACAGTTTTTTAAAGATCTTAAGCAGTTATGAGTTATAATTGAGTAATTGGTAAGTTCTAATAAAACCAGAATCTTTTCCTATACCATAACTCTAGTATCAGTGATTCTATCCTTTTCTCTCTATCATCACCATTATTGCTGTAAAACTAGATTTTCCCAGCAATTTTATCAAAGTTTGGATAAGTATTTTTTAATCAGTTATTCTGTGTTTAAAACTTCCCATCAACATAAGAAGTTAATATTTAGTTGAAGGAACAGTAAAAGCACAACAATCCCTGTTTAGAAGAATGCTGAGTTTCCCCCATAATTAGAGGTGGAATTTTTAGGAAATGATGTATCACGTGCTAAAATGAAATGAAGAGGGATGAGAGTGGGAGCCCAAAAGAAATATTTTGCCATTGGTATCTTGAGATAATGTCTGACATTGAACATGACTTCTAAAATAATGTACAAATAAAAAGCAAAAAGCTACCTCCTTTCTCAAATAAAAGGTACATGTGCCAAAGATGGAAAAGCTCACTTCAAGTCATATTCTTTGAATCAGTGACTTTTTACAAACAACAGGTGAGGGGTGGGGATTTAACTTATACTTCCATTTGGAATCAGGAAGTTTTTTTGCTATACTTTCATACTTATGTTCTTATAGAACTACATTATGCCAGTAATGATCTTGGATAATTAATAATTGATATATCACCTGAATAATGATTGCTCTTTTTTCATTTCTCAGTGAATTAAAATATACAGTATGATAATTTTGGCACATGAAAGTTTGATTAGTAAATGTTATCTTTATTAGCTTATTAATGTTTGATTTTTTTTTTTTCTCTCTCCCGGTTCCAGGGTGTGGATGAATGGAACATAGCTCGCCTAAATACAGTCTTGGATGTGGTTGAGGAAGAGTGCGGTATTTCTATAGAGGGTGTAAATACCCCTTATCTCTATTTTGGCATGTGGAAAACCACATTCGCATGGCACACCGAGGATATGGACCTCTACAGCATTAATTATCTCCACTTTGGAGAGCCCAAGTCTTGGCAAGTTACATGTTTAATATTCATTTGCTTAGGAGTTTTGAAATGTGGGCAATATGAATCTACTGAAGAGGATTTTCTTCCCTTATCTGGGGTTTTTGAGTGTAATAATTGATTGTGTTCCGTTTTGCCCATGGTTTTGCTCAAAACCGTAAAGCTAGTGGTGACTGGTGTATCTAAAGTGGCTTGCAGATCATTTTGTGGGGCATGGATTGATAAAAGAATTTGTTAGGCATTTTTACTTCTCTGAGCATTTGTTGGAAGGTATGCTGGAAATAGTTAAGAGTGAAAGGTGACTTCATTGATGTTGGGTATTAGGTAACAGTAATGATATTCTGGTCCTGCTTCTTCTAAATAAATGATAAGAGTAGGAAAGGAGGGATCAATCAAGAGGCCTGCTCTTGCTCTTTGGGTGATGGGCAGGGGAAAAGAATGTTATTGTTAATATGTGTTTTTAACTTGCAGTTTCCTGTGTTTGTGAGCCTCTTCCCTTGTCTATCTGAGCAATGACTTAAAGATGTTCTGCTTTGTAAAATACATCATATAGTATATTCTTATGTACTTGTTAGTACACATACATAATTGCTAGTTTGTCACTTTTCCCGGGATTCTTTGTGGTTAGCCAGTTTCATGTTTTGATCTTGTTTTTGTGGGTTTTAGTTTTAGGGAAATTTAAATATTAATTCTGTTTTCTATAATACACATATATGCAGGAAAATACAGACAGAAACATATGAGGTATGACCTTGACCAATCCAGGAAAGATGATGTTTCAGATGGATGTGAACATGATAGGTTGCTCTTCAGGTGCTTGTGTCAACCCAGTAGCTTTCCTGCCTCCAAGTTAAAGATAATGGCCTCTTTCCAAGTTTTCCTGCTGATTAGGTATTGAGATGCAATAATTTGGGGATAATTTCCACCTCCATTTTGCCATTATTACTTGCCCTTGAGGTTTTTTTCATGTGTTGAGTATGAAGTTGTGAATTTTCTTCAAATAATTCAAATATAGCAAAAGTTCCTAATAACCACAAATGACATTTAGTTGGAAGTCAAGTTTTAGGTAGAAGAGCAAAGTTCCTAGGGCATACAAGAAAAATCCAGGCAGTTCTGTTTTCTTATGGAGTTTTATGATCTAAAAAATGGGGGAAGCTGTTTAACATATATTAAAGGTGTTTTACTTGCATGTTTCATTTCATAAATCCTTAGCAATCTGCTCTCTAAATGGAATAAATAAAAATTTTAAGTATTTTAGATAAAACATTTTTAGTAGGTGGTCTAGGACCCAGAGAGGCTTTTGTGACAGACTGGTATGATGGGACTATTCATTACATAGGTGTTTACTGAGGGCCAGTTTTGAGCACATGCTTAAGGCCATGTGGGTCTTTATCATGTTTCTTCAACACCACCATAATATCTGTTGGAATGTCATCCTTTAATATTTTTGGGACTTAACTTTGAGAGACTTAGAGAAATATTTTAAGCAATTCCTAGGCACCTGGGCAGTCTCTCAGCCACATAATTACCTCCATGCTCTTTCTGATATTCACTTTCAGTGTGAACAAAATTAAATGAAATGGGCAAATCCAACCCATGTTGGTAAAATTTAGTGTATAGGCAACTATATACTTTATTTTCCTTAAGAAATCTGAAAAGTTAGTAACAAAATTTTTCTGGGGGTGTTTTAGAAGTCAGCTAATGAGAATGCCCAGGACAATAATTTGAAATTATAGTATTAGAGGAGTTTATTTTATTCCCTCGCCCCCTGCTATTAGAGGAGTTTTGATGATATCTCTGCTTTCTTATCAAGAAAGATGATCCTCTCCCCCATACTTCCTGAACAGAATTATGTTATCTCCTAAAGATCACTTAGGGGAGAGTATTCTGGTCAGGGAGAAGACTGATTCTAGAGTCTTGTGGCTATGTGAAAGAGTACCACTGTTCATGAATGAGAATAATTATGCCCATTTTCAAAGAATTTCTTTCTGCTAGCATCTATATTTTCTGTAATTACTCTATTAGTTACTATAGACATATAGACTTCATTATATGCATTAAAGGTAGATTTATAATATCACTATTATCTTTAACCTTGACCATTATTTATAATGATAAAATAATAAAACCCAGCCGTGAGTTATGACCACTAATCTACATTCCACTTTCTAAGATAACTACTGTAGAAAAAGAATGATATAAATGACTCTAAGGATATTTCCACGTAGATTTATGAAAGATTATGTTAGTTCAGCATAAATAATTTTGAGGTAAATTCTCTTATCCCTAAAATTCATCTTAATACTCATCATGATATATTTTAAGTGAGCTTTGAAAGGTAGTAGAAGCAGTACAAATTTATATAAATATGGGAGGTAGGCAGTGTCTGTTGGCAGAGCTTAGATTCAAGGGACCAGCAATCTGGGCTCTGTTCCTTATTCTACTACTAACGTTTGTGGCTTTGGACAGATAACTATACTCCTTTGTTTGTTTATTTTGAAAGATTTTATTTATTTTAGAGAGGGGTGTGGGGTGGTTGGGGGTAAGAGGAGCAGAAGGGGAGGACGAGGGAGAGGGAGATAATCTGTTGACTCCACACTGAGCAAGGAGCCCAGCTCAAGGCTTACCCTATCTAGAAAATGAGAAGATGAGGAGGTGACATAAGGTTCTCTATGTGCATGCATGTACGTGCACTGGTTTCCTTTTCTGCTGTCTTCTTCTTGTTGAGTTGTATGAGGGATAGTTGCATTTACTTTTCTCCGGGGGTGCTCTCACCTGTGCTTGACATCTCTGAACCTAGCAATGTGCCTTTTCCTTCTAGCCTTATAGGCTGGTGTTGAATTTTGACTTCTTCAATTCTGCCCTTAAGCCATCAGCTTTTGGATGTGATTGTTGCAAAACTGCCTAAAATTTCCTCCTTAATTCCGTGTTTACAGTGTTCTCTGCTGTTCTCTGCCTGCATGTCTCTTCTTTTTTGCCCAGAGGCTTTCTGGACCATCTGCTGCCCCTTCTTTAGATATTTGTTTTTGCACCAGGTGCTTTTGACTACCTCCTCACCCTTTCCTGTGCTGCCTTGAAGTTGGGGTCTGTATCTGCCTTTGAATCATCAGCATTTAACACAAGGCCTGGCTATAGGACCGAGGCTCTGTACATAATTCTTGTTTGTATCAGGAGAGTATTGTTTTGCAACAGTTTGTTTAAGGGCAAACAAGGAAATATATAGAACATTTAATAAAGATTTTTGTCTAAAGTATAGTTATTAAGAACACTCATTTTCCTGGGATTTCTGAGTAGCTGCAGATGCACAGATCCAGGTAGAAGCCTTGAGACATACTTTTCTGGGCACTGAGTGTGGCAGATTTTGCTGAGTAAGTGTTCATGAACCAGGGTTGTAGTGAAGAGAATTTAGAGGAGATGATGATTTATTTAAACATTTCTGGCACAAAGGTTTAGGGGAGAAAGAATGCTTTAAATAAGCAGATGGAAAAGTGCTTTAGCAGTCATTGGTAAAGTATTTATTTTCTTGGAATGGACATTGACTTTGGAGCCAGAAGGCCTGTTTTAAAATCTCAGTCTGTCACTTACTGGCTGAATGACTCGGGCAAATAACTGTGCTTCTTTCATCAGGAATTTCTTTAACTGCCTAATGGAGGCGTGATTTATTCTCTGTCTCCTTATAAAACTGCTAGGAGGGTCCAGGGATATACTTTCTGTAAAAGTGCGTTGTAAACTGTAAAGTACTATACAAATATTTCTAATTACTATTGTTTTAATAACCTTATGAAAATAAATCATTTTTAGGTCTTAGTAATGACTAAGCCTGAACTTGGCAAGATATATCTCTATATAATAGAGTAGGGGTTTCAAGGCTAAATAAAATATAATTCTCCCTTTCAAATGTCATATGTGATAGTGGTTAATTGCTGGGAGATGTAGAATTTAGATGGTTCCTCAAATCCTGTGTCCAAACACAGTGAATAAGAGACTTCCAGATTTACTCTCTAGAGAATGAGAAATGTCAGATTTGAGAGGACTTGTCTTAAGCTATGAAAATGTCTAAAATGAGGCAAGAAATTTCTCCTGGATGTTTTTAGAAAAATTAAGAATGGGCTGTACGTATTTTGGACTGCGTTAAATTTTATTCAACTGTGAGGTTTTGTAAAAGTACCATGTAGCATTAAGAAATATCAGATTATTCAGGATAGATAGTTTAAACTTAGTTTGATGCTTTTTCATTAGATCATTTGTTCAGTGTTGTGTGAAGAGCATGGGGTTTTTGTACCTGAGTCTTGTGTTTTGAGTTCTGACATTACTTTTTACTGAGCATGTGACCTGGGCAATTATTATATAACCTCCATGCCTCAATTTCCTCTCCTAAAACACTCAGAAGGTTCTAAGGCACTTGTGTGGATGAAGTTAAATACAGTGTATAAAGCATGTGCCACAGCTCCTGATATATCATAAGTGCTCAGTCAATAATATTTCATAAATTTCAGTTAAATACATATCGCATGTCCTATCTAAGACCACATAGATCATATATTAATAAGAATTCTTGGTTCTAAATGACACAAACCTAGTTTAAGCAAAAGGATATCTGTTAGTGTATATGGTTGGGATAAGCTAGAAGCATGGCTCAGTCCAGAGATCAGGTGCTCTTAATTGGGTATTTGTCTCACCCTTTCTCTGAATATTTCCCTCTCTCCATTCACTCCCCTCCGTCTTACCCCTTGCTCTTTTTCTTCTTCCTTTCTTCCTGGATAGAGGAGACGCTGTTTACTAATAAATAAGTATTCAATTATTCTTGACTTTTAGAATTCATTTCTCTTTAAAAGAACAAACAAGTTGGCATCAAATCGACCCATGTATGTTTAATAGATATCTTCTTTATCAAAGTCTGAGCTCCTAGATCAGGGGACCCTAGTTCACTAGCATATCTTCCATGCCTGGCACAGTATCTGGCATGATTGTAGCGCGGTGTAGGTACTCAATATTTGTTAAATAAACAG